TTTTTGGTTGCAGCCATCATTGTTGTTTGGCAGGCCCGGGCTGGGAATTCGAACCCGCCACCTTAGGTGTATGTGGCTGGCGCCTTAGCCGCTTGAGCCACAGGCACCGAGCCTAATCTGAAGTTTCTAAATATTCCACAATAAACATGTAATGTGTTTATGTCATGAAAAAAATACACTCTATTGATAGATTCTGCCCTTTCCTATAGGCTATTTCTTGTTATTTTAAAACATCAGCCACTAACTGGGAAGGGGTTTCAGACCACCCCCCCTAAACTCCCAGCCTGCATTCTGGTGATTCTATCACTTGCCTTGAGATGAGCAGTTTTTCTCATCTGGACCCCTTTCTGGGTCCAGATGCCCTTAGTTGAGACAGGGTCCCCTGAGAAGGTACGAGTTCTCCCTCATGCAGCCAACCAGAGCCTGCAAATGGTTAGCCTAACGCTCCTTTTCTTGGGAATGTTTCAGGTTGTACAATCTTTGAAAACTGCAAGAGCTGCCGAAACGGTTCGTGGGGGGGTACTCTGGACGACTTCTACGTGAAGGGGTTCTACTGTGCAGAATGCCGAGCGGGCTGGTATGGAGGAGACTGCATGCGTAAGTAGACCTTGAACCAGCCCCCTCTCTAGCCCACGCTGTTGTAAAGTTTTGGCTTATAAGGTGCTAAAATTTCTCTTGTTGGAATCTGAGTTCTGGGAAGCCTGTGGCCAGAGGGCTTTCTGGGTAAGACTATAAAAACAAAGATGTGTTTCCATCTGGTGGTGTGGAGTGTGGACACTGGTTTGAATTGTTGGCCTCAGGAGGTTTATACCTGCTCTTCAATCTCCCCTCTCTAAGGGAAGCCAAGGCACTCTGCATACAGCAGGCCTTGTGTCCACCTCAGAGCTGGTATGTGGTCGCACTGGTCGGCAAGCTGTGAATAGCCTTCAGAAATGTTGTCTGTAGTGCATTTTACTTATGAATTTCTGTTGGTAAATTTCTTGAATCCTGAGTTAAATTCCTGGAATCCACAGCAAGCTTCTAGCATGCCATTTGTCCCAGGAAAGGGATTCTTTCTGGCGTCTACTTGATTTCAAAGAATTACTTAATCTTTATTAAAGGTCTCTTGTGGGTTCCAATAATTCCTTGCCAAGGGAATGGAAATCTAACCTTGCACTCAGTCAAGATTCCCCTCTGCAGTGCCCTGATTGATGAATATCCCTCTGAGAGTCTGTATCTGGAGCAATGTATAAAAAGGTATTATTTCATTAAGCTTATTTCATATGTTTCCCATTTGAATCAGAAACGTAATGGTCTTACCATCTAATTTCACTGCTTTGAATGATATTTCCAGTTTACAGAGATGGAGGATGGAGCGTTATTGGTAAACTTTGCCTGATCCAATTTGTAGTGAAATACCACCAGTTTGGAGGCTCTGGGGCTAAGGATGACATGTATGGTCTACAGCTGAGAAACTCAACTATACCCAGAGGGCAAGAGGTTTGTTGGCACTTCAGGGTGAAGCTGGGAGTTAAATTATCCAGAATACAGAAAAGTTTTGAAGTGCTGGTCTCAGTAGCAGATTTAAAGCTTCAATGCTGTTTTAGGTGGTCTCTAGTAAAATCTAATTTAGTACTTGGTATTATGTTCCAGGTAGGTTAGATGCAAGAGTTAACCCTGATCTTTCTTTGGCTGCTTTCCTGTGAAAATCATATCACACGATGATCAGAATACAAGCTCTGGAATGACACAGACTTAGGTTTAAATAATGGTTTTACCTGTCACTACCAGCATGACCTTGGCCAAGTCATAAAGTCTGGGAATAAGGCTGCTGACCTCATAAGGCTGACTTGAGGATTAGATGAGATAACGTGTGTGAAGCACATAGTGGTCTGTCTGGCAATAGTAAACGCCAGTTAACACACTTGGTACATCAGTATTCCATATGTGTCTTCATTGCCACGTTGGCAGGTGGTCCAGAAACAAAACTACTTTTCTGATAGTTTAAGATAGACATAATTAGTTGTAGTACACTGCATTAGGCTCCACATTGACCTTTAGATTATATGAGAGCACTCTGGGTTTTTTCCTGTTTGGGGTCATATGGAAGGGTACTTTGCTGTGTGCATGAATGGGGAAGGCTGGGGTTGTGGTCATGCATGACCTCGTAGGTAGGTAAGTTAGGTAAGGAATTACGTTGTTATTCCAATGCTGCAGGAAGCCAAGGAAGAGCGTCAAAATAGGGTATGGACCAAAGTGCAAATAGGGTTCAAAGTGCTCTTTGAACTAGATAAGAAAATGGTTATCACAGGAACTCGGGAAGAGTGAAAGTTTCAGACAGGAGGTGATGGTTGAACTGTGCCTTTGCTCCCATGTGGGCAAAACAGCAACATACTCTGGACAGAAGGAATAGAATGGTCAGGGTGTGAAGATGCAGGGTATGTCCATGGAAGCATGTGACCGTCAGGTGTGATTAGAACAAGGTGATGGTATTAGAGGGTGGCAAGTGGTAACACTCTGAATGTGAAAGGTGCAGTGTGCCAGGACTCAGAGTTTATTGTGAGGTGATGATGGTGTGAACTGGATAGTTCAATCAGGGGAGAAGCATTTGACAGATAACCCCAGCAGTATATGGAGGACACATTGGAGTGAAGTCAAGATGACATTCAAAGACAGCAGTTAGGAGAGTGATTTCATTGATTCAGGTCAAAGGAAGAAGTGATAGGACTTACTGATACACTAAGGGGGGAGGAATTTCAAGAGTTGCCCATGTGGGTGGTACCTGTGGCTCAAGGAGCAGGGTGCTGACCCCATATGCCGGAGGTGGTAAGTTCAAACCCAGCCCTGGCCAAGAAAAAAAAAAAAAGAGTTGGCCTTTCCAGTTCCTACTTTGATCTACTCTGTCGAAGTTGATGCTGTTAAGAGAATAATACATAATGAAAGAGAAGAGAGTTGGTGGGAGAAAAAAGGGTGAGTTCCATACCTTGAGATATATGCTGGGATTTGGACATTCATAAGAGAACCTGTAGGCAGTTGGAAATAGGCCTCTAGAGCTCAAGAGAACTTTGGAGACTTGAGATTACTTTATGGGGGTCACAGACTGAAGCATGGGATGAACGGAGCTCCACCAAGGGCAGAGGGAAGAACAAACACACGGATAATAGGAGAAGACAGGGAAGGAGATGAGAAAGAATAGTGTGAGGGGTTGGAGGAGAACCAGGAGGGTTCTGAAGGTTGGGGCTGGAGTGGTTCAAAATAAGTCAGCAAGGTCAAGTGGGATAAGGACAGTAGAGAAGATTCTGTTATTTGACAGCTAGTGGGTGACTAGTGTCCTTCCGTGGTAGCAATTTTACATAAAGAAAAATTCAAAGAGGGAGTAAATGGAGACAAAATTTTAAATTAGCTTAATCAGGCAGGGGAGGGGAAACCTAAGATGAGAGTTTATGTGAATAAATACAGTTGTGGAAAAATATAGATTAAGACAGGAAAGACTTGTACAAGGCTGCAAGCCGCTGTTAGGGACGTGTCAGCAGAAGTAAAGGCTGAATATATGAAAGTGAAAATAATTGAAGAAGTCGAGTGGGAGTGAGCTGAAGTACACAGGTGATAGGTCAAGGAGAGGGAGTTTCTTCTGTTGTAGGTTAAGGTAGGTGGGAAAGAAGTACTTATAAGTCACATATATCCATTTGTTATATAGTAGGAACTGTCCAGACCACTTTATGTACAATGTTTTAGTTTATCTGTACAATTGCCCTGTGAAATAACCCTGTGAAATACGAACTCCCATTTTGTAGATGATAAAACGGAGGCCCAGACATGTGGAATAGCTTTTAGTGGTAAAGCCCAGGGTGATTCCAGACCACATGTTTTTGTTCTTAATCACAGTCCTAGCCTTCCTCCTCCTGGTAAGTTCCCTCCAATAGCCCTATTTTCTCTGGGAAGTAGAAAGTGGGATCTCTGTTGAGAGGAGGGTGGAAGTGGAAGTCGTGCTTGAGAGTACCCAAGGTTTGGGGCAGCCTCCTGAGGAACAAGAAAAGCACCAGCTGGTGGTAAGTTAAAGCACATCTAAGCAAGACCGAGGACCCAGCTGAAGCTGGAGCTCCTGCATGGGTGACACAGTCAGTTGAGAGATGATCTCCAAAAGCACGGCAGCAGAGGTGAGTAAAACCAAAACCCAAGAGTTGGCTAAGACATGACTGACCAAGGTCCCAATTGAGAAGGATGTGAAACCAGAAAGAACCTGGTAGGGAGAGAATAGGGATTGGAGTAGGAAAGCAGACTTAGTGATAATAAAGTAATGGAATGTGTGAGTAGAGGGGATGTTATACTCAGAGTACAATTCTTAGGATGAAGCTTTCAGGGTTGTGATGAGGATAATGTGCTTACATATATCAGTTAGTTTTTGATGTGTAACAAGCACTCTCAAAGAGACAAGTGTTTATTTTTCTTTATCTTGGGTCCTTGGGTCATCATGAGTTCAACCATTTTCAGCTGGGCTGGCCTGGGTTTTGTTCTAAGCTGCAGGGCTCAGGCAGAGGAAGCAGCAGCCATCTGGGGCATGATCTTCCAAGGATGGGTGGTAGAAGCACAAAAGGCCACGCCTTGTTGTTACAGGTGCGTTCATGGCCTCTGCTTGTATCACATCCACTCACATTCCATTAGCCAAAGAAGTCACATAGTTAATCTCCAGATCACTAGAGTAGGGAGAGAGTAGGGAGGTATACGCCATTCAAAGTGGGAAGGGTTGGGCAGCGCCTGTGGCTCAAAGGAGTAGGGCGCCTGCCCCATATGCTGGAGGTGGCGGGTTCAAACCCAGCCCCGGACAAAAGAAAAAGCCAAACCCCCCCTGCAAAGTGAGAAGGGTTTACAAATATTTCTTAAACAGTCCTCCAGTCACTCCATGTGAGTCAATGGGTTTTAATAGGGGATAGTGGTGAGAAGGAGGAAGAGTATTTGCATGTAGGAGGTTAAAAAGCAAATGGGGATATGACAGAATGATGGCAGCTGCCCAGGGAAATCCCATATGTGTCCCTTTCCGAATAGTACTTGTTGGTTGAGTCTGGGGTTGAACCTCAGAGTACAAGTCAGCTGTACGTGGAGTCTAATTGGTTGGGCTGCTGAGGGTATCCATGTGTAGGATTAAGGCTTTCTTAAGGGTAGCAGAACTGACTCAGGGCAACCAGTCAAGCAAAGCAGAGAACTAATACCTTCATTCATTAATCTACACATCCATTCAGGTAATATTTCTTGAATGGATGCCCCCAGGGCTGACATACAATAATCAGCAAAACAGAAATAGTCCCTGACATCTTGGAGCTTGCAATTTTGCTCCCCCTTGCCCCAGAAAAAATATAAATACAAAGAAAATTAGAGTGTGGTCAATACTATGAAATAAACAAACAGACTAATGGTCAGATTCCTATCTGATTCTGTGTTGGTTTGGTTGTGCTTGCTCAATTCCATTATGCTTGTTCTGACAGGCTTGTTCTACACGAGGTATGTTCCTACAGCCCTCATCCCTGACGGGGCTTATGTAGCACTGGGCTAGTCCCCAACGTAGCCCTCAATGAATTAACAATCCACCTATGGAAAAAGGGCTTGAGGATGTCAACATGATG